CACATACCAAGATAACATTTTAGCCTCTGAACGGAGGCTATATTATTATTGCTGCTTTATTTACAATTGGAAAGACATGGAAACAGCCCAAATGCCCAAAAGTGGATGAGTGGATTAAAACGATGTGGTACATATACACAATGGAATATTACTCAGCAACCAAGAAAAAGAAACACATGTCTTTTGCAGCAACATGGATGGAGCCGGAAAAGATCATGCTTAGTGAAATAAGCCAGAAAGAAAAGGAAAAATACCGGAAAAAAATTCTCTCATAGCAGGAATATAACGGAACAGGCAAGAAAATAATGATAATGATGAACAGCTATATACCAGAGACATTTTTGTGGGGGTGGAGTGGGGAACGGGAACATAAACGGGGGGGAGGGAAATGTACTGGACTATGATGATGGCACATGGGTGATTCGGTGATGGGAAGCCCAAGCAGGCTGCAACGGAGATGGAAAAATGCACAAAATGATGTAAAAATAAACATTTTTTTAAATGTAGACAGTTTGTACTAAGTTGGATGTGAGCATTACTATAAGGTATGATATATTAAAGCTTCTGGGTAGCTAAATCAAACAACTTATGAAGCACTATGTAATCCTACCTACCCAAGAGAAAGTTGCTGAGAATATCCAAAGTTTGTATCATTCCTCATGGGATGATATTTAATATATGCACCAATATCAACATTCGTCCAATTTAGAAATGGGCTTCAAGGAGCACACATTTGCAATGACATTTACCTCTATATAAAATTGACACACAAAGTAAAGGAAGAGGAAGCAATCAACATTCATCCAAGAATTTTAAGATATTTCAAGTCTGGGAAGTGAGGGAAAGTGCTAATTGTGATGTCTCAATTTTGTGGTAGGCTGACAGTGTTAAAAACCTTTTTCAGAGTAGAGGAAATCTCTAAGCACTGATGAGGGGTAGGACTTCAGTAAAAATTCTCTGTGGTTCCTTTCAAACTGAATAATGTATGATTCACGTCATGGCTGTCTGTCCCTTAGAAGTGAAGCCAAGTCAGGCTAGAGAGCCCTGTGACATTCATTCCAAGGGTCCAGCTCTGACTGGTGATGGAGGCGGGACTGTTTATTAGTGCGCTCTCGCTTTAATTCTGCTTACCCACTCATAACCAAAAGAACCTCTGGGCAGCATGGGAAGATACGTGACCTTTCACCTCATGTGGGGTATTTTACTTGGTTTAGTTCATAAGTAAATTTCCCTCAAGCTTTAAAAAAAGGAAATTGAGACCAGAAACTTTCTAAGGCATCACTTCAATCATATAATATATACTAGTCTGGAAAAAAAAAAAAATATATATATATAAAGAGAGAGAATTCCTTCGCACTAATTCTGTAAATAAGACAAAGGAATGAACAATGTCACTTGAAAAGAGAACAAACATCTTCACAAGTTTGTAGTCTGAAGAAACCCAGAATACAGAAGAGAATGACTTTCAAACCAGTTACTACTGTCGCCCAGCTGTCCTAAGCATCAGGGTGTTGTAAGCAACACCAAGCAGCAGCTGACCAGTTAAAGAGTGCCGGTAATGATAGGAAGCGTAGTGTTTCTTCTTTCTGACGCTATATTCTTGTAACAGAAATCACAAAAGAGCATACATATCTGCAGGCATTTATTGGATGGATGCTTCCAGGTAGCTGCCTTTCAGTAATGATTTTGAGTCTATGCTGATCCATCTATATACCAGCCCTGTGTCTCCATCACTAATGACACAGACTACTTGAGGCCAACAGGTTTAGGGGTGCAACCCATGGCTGTGATGCTGACCAAAGCTTGCTGATCTATGATGGCTTTCCTGGTACCCTTCTACCAGAGACAGCAGTAACACAATCTGCCAGGGCCAGGGCTATGACACTAAGAGAGCTTAGGAAAAACAAATCTCCCAGCTTCTTGGTTTCCCATTTTCCTCAATCTGTGAAATGGGGTTAATATTTTCACATATGTCTATAAAATCAAAACAAATATATTTTAGAAGTACCTGAAAGTGTTTCGTAAATACAACATTTTATTATTTAAGCAGCTGAGCTGGCAAAAGACAACACTGACATAACAAAACTGGCCCCTGGGGAAATGAGTTCATATATACACAGTCCCAAAGGTCTGTTAATAAAATATTCCAAAACATAATATATGGTCATTAAATTCAAAAGGCAAGTCAAGCACAGCACTATAAATTACAGCTAGGCAGAATTCTTCCCTATTCTAGCAGTTACAATGGTCTATTACTTGAACCTTTAACCAGAAATCACATGGATGATTTAATGCCAATTTTATAGATGTCTTCACTGCTTTCAGGATAAAGGTCCTTATTAACTATTACTTATATACACAGTTAATTTCCCCAGTAATACTTCAGTGAAACACTACTTCAATCTAATGCCCAGATATACACAGCACCACTACAGTAATATTCTTATTTACAAAAAAAAAAAAAAAAAAGAGTAGAAAGGACTGGAAAAACCCATCTTTATCCACAGCTAACTACCACTACAAAGAGAAAGAATGAAACAACAAAGGCCAACAGTATTTTTCCAAATTCAGACAAAATGTTCTCTGAAATCTTGTTTCCCAAACTCACAAATACCCAAAATAATACAATACCCCTTTCAACAAATGCATGAGAATGACTGTATTAACTAAAGCGAAATCCAACCCTATGATGGAAGGCTTATATTAAACTGTACTTCATGTAGTTATAACAGGACTAATATTAAGCTTAAACATTTCATAATATGAAGCCTGTACAATGTCATTTGGAATTATGAGTTAAGTAAAGGTATAAAAATACACTATTTTCATTTCTCAGAAACTTACTGAAATTCTTGCAGCAAGTCTACAGACTACAAAAAATAAAATTTTGAAAACTTAATTTTCATTTGATTTAATTGAAGTCAATCTTAGATTTTCATTTCAAATATGGATTGTTATACCCTAATTTTCTTCTCTAACAGACGATTATTTTCTTGCAACAAAATTACAACTGTATAATAATACAGGTAATATTTTTGAAGATTATGTAACTTCTTTTCAAACGATGTCCAGGTCTGAAGCTCAACCACTGTGACTGAAAATAAAAATGGAACTGGTAGATTCCCATTTAACAAAGATAAACATTATTTCATTTTCCAAGAGCTGTGTCTCCGGAATGTCTTTCTCAATAAATTAATCAGAAATATCAATTGGCTCATACTTCATGCCAAGCCTAAGTAAGTCAGGTGAGTCATCAGAACATGAACAGAACAACCTGCAGTTAAAGGCAAGGACAAGAATTATATGAGTTTTCAAAAGCTAACTTCTCCAGGTTCACTTTAAGTACGACAGAATAGACTTAAGGAATGCAGAAGCTTATCTGTCTCCATTACCAGGACCACCACAGCGAGTTTTATCCACCACAGCGATTTTTATCCATGGAGAATAAAATCTATCTGAATACCGAAACATCTACGATAAATTCCCACTGAGGAAACAACCAGGACAGAAAACTCAAGAAAGCCTCAGCTTCCATCACCCCTCCCACCTTAGTCCATCCAGTCTTTCTTCGTTTCCATTCAGTGGTCAACTTTCCTGATAAAAAGGGAGAAACCTGTTGGAATGAGTTTTTAGAAGATAAATACTACTGATGAAGCAGAAATAAGTTGCTACCAAGAAGTTGTCCACCCATTCATTTACGTACAACCAAAAGAAGAAACACCCACGTGTATTCCGATCAGTGAAGCTGCAACCTGGTGATTTGCAGAGAAGATGGGATCTTAAATCAGACGGCTACTCTCCCAAAGTGGGGGGGAAAGAATGTGGCTCTTCACCCCAGCAGCTTCAGAGGTGCGGACATCCAAGCCAACACTTCCGTCCACCGTGCAGCATCTCCAGGCTGAGGCGGGCTAACACCCGGCAGGCACCCGCAGCCGGTAGGCTCCAAGCTGCCCGGCGCTGGGGAGAACCGACAGCTCTGCCCAGAGACGGAGTGAGGAGCTGCAGAGCCACGCAGAAAGCTGCAGCCTCGGGAGCGGTCCCGGCGGGCGCTCCAGCTCCAGAGGGCGGGCAGAGCGCGGGCTCACCTCTCGTGGGGGGCTGCGGGCGCGCGCCACTGCCTGGGCTCCTGGGCTGCGGGCCACAGCGCCGCCACCG